TAGCTTCTGGCTCAGATCAGAAAAGGTACTGTTTTCCTTACCAAGAAAATACTGCAAAAATTATCGTTTCAGTACCTAAATTATAAATTAGGGGTAATATTGGAAAACACTTTTTTAAAAAAACTTTTTAATAAATAATTTAGTCTTTCAATTTAATATAATTATTTATTTTATAAAATTATAAAAGACTAATAAAATAGCAGTAATTGTTGCACAACTTATAGCTACTGAATTTATTAAGATTAATTATTAATTTTTACAATTCTTAAATTCTATTAAAGTAAAATAACGAAAAACAAAAAATTTTGTGTGTAAAATATTATGAATTAGAAGATTTTTTTATTTATTTATAAATTTAAACGTTAAATTAGAAAATTAAATTTGAGATCAAAATTATAATTTAAAAACTGAAATAATAATTTAAAAAAAGTATAATTCAGACTCTTGAAAAGCCTAAGACTTGTCCGCGTGCTAAAAACATGTCACGGGCTATAGATTCAAATTGAGGTAGTCTTTTCCGTTGAATTTTGCATTTTAATAATAATTTTTAATTAAATAGGTAAAATTAAAAAAATTATTTTTTTAGTAAAACTAAAGTTAAGATCTATTTTTAATAGATTTAAATATAAAAATTATAATTTGTAATTTTTAAAAAATATTTTTCACTTTAAATAAAAATTTATATTTTAAATATCAAAAGTTATTTTTACAAAAAAAAAAAATGTACAAGTTCTAATTTTTAAAATAACAGTAATTTCTATAATTAATTTTATTAAACAATAAATAATTTTTTATTTAATAAATAATTATTTTAATAATATTTTTAAAATTCACAATACAAACTATACTATTTGTGCCATATACACCAATTAAATGAACTTTATATTATTGTTAACAACCAATATCCATAAGAAGCCATGCTAAAGCTATTTGCCACTATGTTTAAGTTATTATATATAAATATTCAGTATTATTTAAAAGTTAATACTTTTTTTTTTAAAAAATACGAGCCTATAAACTATATATATCATTTTTATCAATTAACTAAATCTCAATGTTAATAGATTTAATAATATAATGATAGTATTTATTATTTAGATATAAAATTAATTTTCTTAATGAATCTATGGATAAGCAGAGTAAAATTTAATCAAATGATTTAGTACTTAATAATTGATTAAAATATTTAGGTATTAATGTCCAATGTTTATCTATATTTTGGAAGCTTCTCTTCCAAATTTGTATTATACTTGTTAATTTTTCCCATATGAGAATAAAATCATGTTGTGTTGGTTCATCATGTTTGTAATATCCGAGTCTGAAATTTAATCTGGGATTAATTTCAACATAAAAAAAAAATTTATAAAACCTATTTTTAAAATTAATAAATTTAAATTTAATGTATAAGAAAAAATAAGTTGAGGATGAAATTAAAATTAATTTTGAAAAAAAATGGTAAAAATTTGGGTTCGAATTATATTTTTGAAAGAAAAATTAAAAATTGAGAGTTAGAGTGCAATTAAAAAAAATTGTACTACGTAGGACTGTCCAGTCAGCAGTCTTGACGAGCTGGAGCACGCCGCGTGGCAAGGCACACTGACTCGGTGCCACGCGGGGGGCCACGCTGGAAATCCGCGTATCCTGCTTTCGGACGACCCAGAAGCGTTCCCGCGCGCATGGACGATCCGGATCCGTTCCCTCCTCATGCGCGATTGGACGGTCCCGATTAAACGTGATGAACGGTCCAGATTTGTTCATTCTTTAAACGAGATCGGACGGTCGAGATAAAATCGGGATGCACGGTCCAGATTTATTTATTTTTAAATGTGATCGGACGGTCGAGATCAAACGCGATGAACGACCCAGATTAATGCGAGATGGGTGTAAATATTTTGCATCACACCGAACTCAAACCTTAGCTACTAGCTTCCTGCCAGAGAAGAAGAACCAGTTGTCAGAGAAAGGAGCCGACTGCCGCTCGCCATCGCACTAGAGCCACATCCGACTGCCAAAAAAGGTAAAAATTCTCCTATATGCTCGGAATTTAATTTCGAGCATCTCCATGGCTAAATTGGAGCAAAAAAAATGATGAGCTGAAAACCGGGGGCAAAGTCCGGCAGCGCTGCTGCGGGCAAAACTTGCAATTGCCTCCGATGAGCCCGTTCCCGTTTCTCGTTTCGTACAATTTTTTCACTGTTCTGTTTTCTACAGGTTGACAAAAAAAAATGCACAGTCGCGAACGTGAGCTAGTGGAGCCACCGCACCGAAAAGTTTTACCACCGGTAGGTTTCTATTTTTTAACTTTTTTCGATCAACCGAGACTCCCTAACGTGTTTTCTCGCAAGGATGAATATAAAACCGGCCAAAATCGACCAAAACTGGTCAAAAATGGCAAGGCCGAGGCAAACCACCGTTGTGGGCAGGCGTCGTCGCCGGAGCACGGCGGTCCCACCGTGCCAGAATCCCAAAATTGGCCAATATATACACACACACACACACACACTATATGTAAGAGAAATGCATGTCATGGAAATTATGAAGCCTGTACCGAGTGGATATCCAGTCAGTTGGTCATGGTGACAGTGGTTTCTGTAATGGCCACAGTTGGGAATGTGTAGGGAATGATTTTCATTTAATGAAAAATGAGAGATGAATTCTTATTTTGTACTGAGAATTAAGAACGTCTGCAACACAGATTAGTCTATACGATATATTAAGTCATTTGAGATTATGAAAGCCATTTGGGATTATGAATTCTTTTTACATAAAGAACGAGGAATGGGATTTTAATGTTTATGGACTTGTTAGAAATGTTCTTATATGGTGTGTCATTCCTTAAAATTGATGATAGCTTTTACAATATAAGAATATATATATATATATATGTATCTTGCAAAGCTAGTAGGTAATATTTTCTTTTTAATTGTTGGTTTTCCTTTACATTTGCTCTATTGAGCCAATTGAAATGGCTGTCACTTGTTCTGGAAAAGGGTTGTCTTGTTAAATTGGTGGGTTTAGTTTCTGATTATGTTTCCTTCCATTGTATCCCAAAAAGCTTACAAGATCATAAAACAAAACCAGTAAGACAGAAGTAAACATTAATGGTGGTTGGAGAAGACAAAGCAAATTCTGTACTTGGTGTAAGTTTGAGAGAGAGAGAGAGAGGATGAGAATGGCATGGGAAAAAGGTGAAAAGAAGCTCGAGAATCAGGCTGTTGCATGTGAAAAAAGAGAGCTCGCTTCTCATTCTTCCTTCTTCTTCTTCCCGGCCAAATATTTACTTTTCTCATTCTATTAATGAAGCTAAGAGAATCCAATTTACTTAAATTAAGAGCTCCATTAGTTGTGTTTATGATTTTTACCAACCTTCAGTTTTATATCGGTGAGTAGTGTGATATTCTTACTGTGGTACAGTAATTTACCATTTCATTAATTATTTCAGATTAAAAGGACCAAAACCCAGATCCCAATCAACAAGAGGGTTGTGAATAGTTCAAAATCCGTACTCCCTTCAAAAGGTAGCGAAGGTCATCCTAGAATGCTCAATATATTGTATTTTATTTATTTTTTTGATTTTTATTTTTTAGAAGAGACATTCCCATAGCCCTATTAGGCATTCTAAATTATTGTTTAAGGAATGTAAACTCTAAACTCTATTATTTCGTTTCCGTATTTAATTCATGACTTTATTTTCTTTTAAGTTTCAGGCCTTTACAGTTGATATCAAAACTGCGTTCCTCGAAACCATTCTTTACACAAAAACCTTAGGAAATACCAAAAAAATAAATTATCACTCAACCATTCCTTGTGAAATGCAGGTACAGATAGATGAAAAGAGGAAGACCCCCACTAAACAGAGCAGTCTGGGAGGGTTCGCTTCGAAAGGATGTTAACTGATTCTTTGAAATGCTGGAGAGACTCATTGCTGCCCAGCAGGCTTGGAGAAAAGGAGGGAGCTACCTGACCCTCCCCTGCTGTCACATTTTGAGCCAGCATTGCAGCGGGAGGATCCTGAACCACCTCGGTATAACCTTGTTCATCCACAGTACCATTCGGCACCACCACAGTATGGTCCGGTGCCTTCACCGTATCACCCGACACCACTACAATACAATCTAGTGCCTCCACTGTATTATCTCGTACCACCACAGGTTCATCTAGTCCATCTCCAGCACAATCCAGTCCCTCTTTCACAGGACCCAGTTCCACCCATAATGGACCTAGACTACATTAAGATGTACAAAAGACTGAACATATCTACTTTTGTAGGGGCATCCTCCTTTGAAGAGACCGAGTACTGGTTACTGAGATAAAGAAGGCTTTCATGACTCTTGGGGTAGTTTTCGAACAGAGAGTATACTCACCACCTATATGCTGGTAGGAGAGGTAGGTCACTAGTGGCAACTCAAGCAGGCCACTATGCCTATTATAGTCACTTGGGAATAGTTCTTAATGGCCTTCAATGCAGAGTACCTCCTAGAGCATCTCTAATATTTGAAGAAAATGGAGTTTGCACACTTGGTCTAGGGTGATATGATCGTACCAGAG